TTGCTTTGAAAATAATGTTTTATTTCAATACAAAGATTAAATGCTCTGGATTCGTGGTGTATCAACAAAACCCAAGTCTAAAACAATTTAAATCACTATGGATATAAACAAACATTGCATGACTTTGACAAAACTAAGCACTACGTATTTCTGTATTTGATGAAAAGTCATTATTCATTTTTTCAGAGTAATAATTATTTCATGTAAATCAACCGAACGAATGAGTCGTCAAATTAAAATATCGCCGTCAAATGTTACATGCGGTTTTTACGCCTCAAACTATTTTTAGTTGCATTAAATTTTCCGGTCTGTTGCTTTCAACACGAAACGGGGTGGATTATTTGAAGAAAAAAAATAAGCTATACTCTAAATTTAAGAACTACCCTGCCCCTAAGCACATTTTAAAATACAATCCATTTTAATGGTTCTTGTCTGTGGTGGGTAAAACCCATCAATTACTTTTTCGTTTAAAAACCACGTTGGATACACAAATGCATATTCCCTTGGCCTTGGGCTAAACGTCAATCTCTAACAACCATGAAATTGATTTTTGATGTTGTTATAATATCTAGTGTAACGTTTTACACCTAAATAGCTGTATGTTCATGTCAAACCCCATGCCGGGGCGCAGCAGCAGACCCGAAAGTGTGGTTTTTATAGCCATAAATACTCAAGGACTTTTTAATTTTTATTCCAAACGTCGCCGTTTTGTCATTAATGCTTGATATTATTATTAAGGTTTTAACACATTATAATAATATTAGTTACCGTAACGTAGTTACACATCGATACTTCTGCATACAGGCAGTTTCAAAAAAAATTTAATTTCTCCGTGCCGTTAGTTCTCGTCAAAATATTAATATTATAGACACACAATATTACGGACTTTGTAAAGCTGCCTTGTATTTTTTCTGTATGATTTTGTTTAGAAAAAAAAAAATACAACGCTAAAACGAATTATTCTCGACACGGTATTTTTATTGTAAATGTGCTACATTTATTCACGGAAAACTTATTTACAGTACACAGAATGTAAGCTGATTTTCAATTTAAGTATTATTGCGATATTATTAAAACTTTTGTTCACAAATCCACTGACAATATTCAATTTTTTTTATGAATAGAACAACGCGTTCACATCTGTGAACACTGCAGTACTTTTGTTAACAAACATATATACATTGTACAATTGAAATGTGTGAAAAATCTATTGTATATATAAATTCTAATAAAAGCATTGTCGGTATAAACAATCCTTGTTGTTGGGGATCAGGATTGCAACAACAGTGTTATCCAACTTGTTCGTACGAGGTGACTAAAAGGATAACTTGGGTATGATGACGGGTAAAAAAGTGCCTATCCTTCTGTATCAGGAGCACTCATATTCCACCCGGTCGACAGTGACCAAGGCCAACCACTCGCCGGCCTGGGAAGCCAAAATAGTGGGAGTGATCACGGGTTGACCTACCGACGTCAACTTTAAACCTCGCTGGAACCGCGGGAGAGTGGAGCCCCGTCGCATGCCGATCCGGACTAGGTGCCCCTCAAGGTTAAGGAGCCTACCTCGGCTGAAACGCGGTGGTTGTGGGACCAGTGCTAGATAGAAACAAAACCACCCTACCTTGGTGGGAAGAGGGACCCTAAGGCATAAACTGAACCGTATCAAAAAGGTACGGACCTTCGAGTTCGGTGCTGGTGGTCCCTATGACGATTCGGAAGAATTCTTAGAGCTATTCCGAACCTTGGCGTCTCGTAACTAGCTCCTCGACCTAATACACGGTACGCAGCTGCAAGGCCACGGCCATAAAACCTAAAGGATCATATCAGTATAAACAACGATGGAACGATAGGTTGATTTATTTCTTTGCGAACTCTTATTAATTTAGGAGGTAGATCAATTTTATAAATGTTTAGAAATAACATTTATTTTTGTAATATTATGTACCTATTAGTTTGTCCATAATTGTAAACAATATTTATAAGTTATAATTACAAAAGTATAAATATTTTGTTTCAGAATCCACAGTAAATTATGAGTAGGTATAGTGTTCTAATGGATAGAGTTCCTTTATTATTACAATAATAAAATACAAATTTTTTTATTAAACTAAAAATAATTTACCATGATCTAAAATAAAATATATTTTAAAAAGTTGAGCAAGTGGATACCGCTCTCCTATATAGGTAATAAATGTGGAGTTATTCACCATAATTGATGTGCTAAATTTTAATTCAATAATATAAAATTATTGTATACGAAAAACGATTCTAATCGAACACCTGATATACCCTAATTTTAGTAGATAATTATGTATGATATTATTGACATTGAAATAAATCACTTTCCTATTAATGGTGTGGTATATTTTATTTAAATTATTTTTTTGTTTAAAAAAGTGGTTCCCAACCTTTTATGAGTGCGACCCTAAAATTTTAAATTTAACTTTTGGCTACCCAAAAAAAACAACATCATTTTTTTTTTCCGAAATTGAAATTATAATATAATAAAATATAATATGTAAATGTAAGAAAAGCTTTCGCGACCCACCATGAAAATCTCTGCGATCCTAATTTGGGTCGCGACCCAAGGTTGGGAACCGCTGGTTTAAAGGATAAGCTAACTATTGGGTACAAAAACATTTTATGACTTTTTGACTGAAAAAATAATTCTTGTGAATTTTATGGATTTTGTTAACAATTTAACTTTAACAATCATTTAAAAAAACTGCACTTTCACATTTTTAATAATTTTTAACTACCATAGTACAGTAACTTTTGATTAAAAACATCGTATGCATTTTCAAGCCATTTGATTCAGTGAACCATTATTTATCGATTATTATTTGATTATTACAAAATCAAAATTTTAAAAAGTTGTAAAGTAAAAGAGTAATTGAGCCATAAATAGCTCAAAAATAGAAAAAATGTTTTAAAATTTGTGTGGTATATAGAAAATGCAAATAAAAACATTCAGTGAAAAAAACATGTCTTTATAGTTATTTTTCGAGTTATACACACAAAGAAAAAATAAAATCGATTTTGTCAAAAACAGGCTTTGCATAAAAGTTTCTGTTTTCCTTTATTTATTTATTTATGTTTAAAGTGACAATTTTTAAAACTACTGAGAATTTCATACTTTTTTCCTCCGAAAAACGTACTCTAAAAATTAAATATCATTAAAAAATAAATATATTAAGTCGATCAGAATGTATATTACATAATATTTTTAACTGTTTTATGATTATGTTTACTTTCGTAACTTTACCTAGTTATTACCAGCTTATTACAAATAGTTTGTTAGCGTATTTATTTGTACAGGCATTATGCCACTGCAGTAATGCACGATGCTTAATATCTAAAGTTTATCAACTGATATTAGTTGTGTATATAAATTACATGATATAATATGGTAGAAACTTAAAAAGTTTATTTGAAATTTTATATTCGATGGTATTTYATGTTTTATCAAATGAAAACCAATGCAGAACAAATAATAATATTATAATAAAAGACCTGACTTGGTTCTTTTCTGTTCGTATTTTAACGGACATTATTAACTCGAATACTATTCGGTAAGAATTCTTTTTTTTCAAAGTATTTGTGTACACAAATCCGTATTTTCGAATGTCACCAACAACCAATAATTTGTTTTTTACGTTTAATTTATCAAAAAAACAATATGTGTTCCGGTATGGTTTACGGTCATATTTCGTTCGCCAATTTTTTTCTGTATGCCAAACGTAATCAATCATCGATGCGTCATGGCGATGACACATGATAGGGGAAAAAAACAAAACTCGTGTTCAGCAACGGTATTACAGCCGGGGATTATGAATTATTAATAGGCGTCATCGTAATTACACGGAAGGTGCCTGAAATGTCAAAAAATTCAGAAAAAATGAACACGAACTACGGCTTTCAAAGGGTTTACGACAGGAAAATATGATGAAGAGATAAAGTTTAACGTATTTCTAAAGCATTCCTAAAGTATCAGCTCGAAAAAAAAATAAATATTACCTACCAATATTACATCATTCTTACCTCTTAAAAACCATTAGAGTAGGTATTTAAAAAAATATATATATTAATTTATTTGCTCTTATAAACAAACAGTTAAATATAAGTAATATATTTACGTATTGTATATTGTATCACTATATCTATCAATATTGTAATTGTTGAACTATAATAGTTATGCTGAAAGTTCTGAATAATAATAAAAAAAAAAAGCAATATATTTAGTACTATATTAGATAATGTAAGTGATTTCTTATAATATGTAAATAATTTAAAAATATCTATTTAATTATTATTTTGATATTATACCAAATGAATGAAAAAAATTTTAAATTAAATTTGAACATGTATTTACTTCTGTATAAAATATAAATTTATCAATGATCATATCTATATAATTGGAAAAGTCGACAGCTTAATAATTACTATAAACTGTGTATCAAAGTAACCACAATGATAAATATCTACATAGTAAGTATATAGGCAGTAGGCAAAAATCAGTTTCTCATTTTATAATTGGATACAGCAAATTTAATTATAGAAATAATTATCTAATTTATTTATAAATTAAATTTTGTTTAAATATTTATCTTCATTTTAATGTAATAAACTTAATGTTTCTATTACAAATAAATTAAAATTTCTACAAACTTATTGAATGATATTTGCACGTTGTTTACCCTGTGTTCAATTGAATTTCACTTTGTCTAGTTTATTTTAGAACTTTTGTAAAACCGACATTAATATACTTGAAATATCTCTGTTAAGGACAGCATAAAAGGTCAATTACTGACCCTTGTCGTGTAAATTATATTGAAAATTTCAATAGAAACAGAACACTAACATTGTGTACCTACTGAACTATCGTGCTTATCCTGAATTAGCGTTCACAGACTCTATATCAAAAATTCCAAACACATTGTCTCATCCAAAAATTTCCGCGTTCAAATATTTTATTTTTTAATCGTAATTTATATACTTACCCAATATTCCTAGTCTGTAATTTATGGTGACTACGACTAGACCACCATAGCTTGCCAAAACTGTACCATCGTATGGATTCCCCGAATTCCACTCGTACGATTCGCCATGTATGAACACGAGAACAGGCTTCGGTGCTATTTTATCCGAACTTCCAAAATTCACTGTGAAATAAAATAAAAATAAAATTTGAATTATAAATTATACGTTTAGTTAAAAGTAAAACAATTTGAAATCATATTGTTTTATACCCAGTTAACAAAAAAATCTGTAAAGATATATTATACTTATAATATAATATTTAATCCAACGATTAAAGATATTTCATTTTAAAATCAAACTAATTTTGTTTTATTTTTAAATTATTCATATTTTTAATTGAGAAATTCGGTTGATGCACTTTGAGAAAAATATTATTTTAAGCTATTGGTACGCAATTTAACATAAGCCAATACGCAACTTTCACAAATTCAGCATCTAAAGAAAATAGATTTTTAATAAAATGTATTAATTGTCTTTATAGTTCTATGCACCTATCTATTTTACCTATAATTAAAATAAATAACACAACAATAAAAGAAAATGTGCTGACTTTGTTCTAATACACTTAATTTTTTGTAAATCATTTGATTAAAAAAATATATTAACGTCCTTAAATTATTTACATCGTGTAAACACATAAAATATAAAAGACTAAGGGTTAAAGTATAGTAACTAGTTTACTTTCGTAAACAAAAATGCAACTTTTGTTGCCCTTTTATCGATTCTGGAATTCGTCCAAAGTTTTCCATGATGGCCAATTATATCCGAAATTCAGTAAATTCTCATTAGCTTTCAACTTCATTTTTTTTTTATCTGTCTCTTCTCGAGTTTTTGTCTAGTATCAATTAGTGAAACCAATTATCGAATGGAAAAAAATCCATTACATATTATAATATATTATCAATTTATACATTTAGTTTTCAAATGTAAAAGAACTGTATAGATTACATAAATAAATAAGTTGATTTAAATTTAAAGTTTATAATCCAGGATCGTTATGTAAAGACATCAGTATATATTTTAGTATTATACTTTCAACAAATTGATATTAAGTATTTGAATTATTCTAATATAAAACCAGTAATTAGTAAACACMATAACGAGGTATTTATTGTCCAAGTATAAATCTTCAGATTTAATTGTCACAACATTTCTATTGTATTATTAACACTCTAAACGTATACTATAATAATATTATGTATTATAATACACCAAATGTGTGCTAATGAGCAAAAAATGGGTTGTTTCTTTAGTAGGCACTATAATAATATTGTATATTATTAAAAGTGTTCACAGGGCAAAGGCAGTTCTATAACSACGACGACGACGAAAATAATGTCGTAATCGGTATACGTAACAAAGTATGACGTTACACGTTAACACGTGCAGTCGGGAATGAATTTTGAATTTCCATAATATTATACAGAGTGATTCACAAATATGTTCATCCCTGTTTTTTCTTTGAATAATGAATTTATTCGAATTTAGTTTTTTCAAATATTTAAATATTATACTCTAAGACCGTAATTTATAAATTGTCTATTTTTTTGTGTTTTACACAAATTTCTGTTTTTTTAAATGAGAACTACCTCATGTCTATTTATTTAATTTAAAATCCATATGAGTTGTTCCTTAATTATTGAAATATTTGTGTGAAGGTCCTTCAT